CCCCCCCCCCCCCCCCGCGAGAATACAAGGCAGTCAAGGGGAAAGAGATTTAACAGTGGGGGTCTACTACAGACCACCCAAGGGGAAGAGCTAGACCAGAAATTCTTAAATCAGTTCATGGAAATAGTTAGGTCAAAGGACGTGGTCATCATGGGTGACCTGAACTTTCCAGACATCTGCTGGGAAGAGCAGTCAGCCAGGTCTGACCGCTTACGTAGATTCCTAGCTCAAAAGCAGGACCTCCATCTTACCCAGGAGGTGCACAGCCCCACCAGGGGAGACGCCTTGTTGGACCTGGTGCTGGCCACGGGTGATGACCTGGTGAGGGGGCTGTGGGTGCTTGACCACCTGGGCGACAGTGATCATCGCCTGCTGGAATTCACCGTCCAGCACAAAGTGGCAAAGGCCTACAGCAAGGCAGCAGCCCTAGATTTCAGGAGGGCGGACTTCAATGAGCTAAGGAGACTAGTTGGGGAAGCAGTGAGGTCCCGGAGAGGAGGGGAGCCAGGTGTCCAAAAAGAGTGGTCGCTGCTTAAGCACATGAGCCTCCAAGCCCAAAGGGAGGTAATGCCAACACGGATCAAAGCGGGCAGGAGGGCACAAAAGCCACCATGGCTCACCAAAAGCATCCAGGAATATCTCCTAGCTAAAAGCCAGGCATACACCCAATGGAAGAGAGGAGCCATCACCAGGGAGGATTATACTATGGTTGCTCGGGGATGCAGGGAGGCAGTCAGGAAGGCCAAGGTGGAGATGGAACTGGGACAAACTTCCCAGATCAAGAAAACACGAAGCTCGCTCGCTCCCTCTCTCTCTCTCTCTAAGAGACTCGCTCGCTCGCTCCCCCCTCCAAGAGAGACGCTCGCTCGCTCGCTCCCTCTCCGAGACGTACGCTCGCTCGCTCGCTCCCTCTCCGAGACGCGCGCTCGCTCGCGCGCTCCCTCTCGAGACGCGCACTCGCTCTCGAGACGCGCGCTCGCTCGCGCGCTCCCTCTCGAGACGCGC